TAATTTATTAATTATAACTAATATAAATTACATTGATATAAATTATATAAAGTTTCATTAATAATATTACGTTTTCTTCTGTCATTTTCAGATAATTGACCGATACGAGAAAGTAAAAATAATCTCAGTTAATTAAAAAGGTATTTAAACATTTTATAACAAAGCAATCCAATGTTTTTGCTAATTTTACCGCAAATCTTGTGAATATTCCTTTTGTCGTAATCGATATTCCGTCGGTGTTAGCATGCCTCTGAAAAATACTTTTTCAATTACTTATGAGTGCGCATAGATTATGAATAATTTAAGTTTAATAAATTGATATCAAAATTTGTAGCACGTTTTCAAACTTATGATTTGCATTTTATTCTATATCTAAAGTTTGAATCACATTCTGCATTATTAAAATTTTTTTTTTTGAGATTTCTAAATATTTCTTTTCTTAAATAAATCTTTTATCATAATAATATCATTATAAAAAAATGCGTGCTATTGTTTAATGCAATGCTACATTATTTTATTTTGGTTATTGTTATATAAAAGATTTTATTTTACGTCTGATATGTATGTATATTATGCTATTTATTATTAATTAATTATTTAAAATTTCTATTTGTAATTAATTGAAATTTTTTATATTTTTTCATTTGATCGATAATTATCTATTACCTTAAAACAGTGTCAAAAGACACGTACACTCCCTTATCGCACATTCGTCTGTAAAGATGCCAGCATTCTTTTTCCTTAGTCGTTTGAAAATGCGGTTCTGACGGCATCATCTCTTGCGGTGTTTCTTTCGCCGGCAATGTTTCTTTAGAAAAGTGTTCAACCTATATATTTTCACATAACAAAAATAAAATATAATATAACATAATATTATATTATTATATAAGTATAATAATTATTTGCTTCAACTTGAATTAACATTATTCTCTTACTTTTGAAAGCGGAACATCAATTGGCGGAATTGGAACTGCGACGAGATCAATTCGTGACATTGCAAGACATGATCTCTGCTCCTTCATTTCCATCGGTACATTATTCGTCTGCTCCGTTATTCTGCGAACATCATCGGAACACATTCCTTTCTTAATTGGTTTATTGAAAATATCGGGGCAGTCAAAACATATTAATCGTATCAAAGATCTACGCCTCGCTTAGAGAATTCTCTCTAATATCGAATTGTTGGTGAAAATAGAAGAAATCTCGAAAATCTCTATCTAGCTGAACGAAGAAAGAGTCTTCGAGTCATAAAATTTGCCAAGTTTAGTTATTTCAGTTTTCTAATTTTAAATTATAAGCGACGTAGACGTCGCGCGGAAGACATCAAATATGATGATCGAAGTTTGATGGAGGCACCAATCGAAGGACGTACCACCATCCGCGGGATGCAAACATTCACGGCCGTACCAGTCCGTTACAAAGCAACCTTCTCCTCTCCCACCCCATCATCGTTACATCACGTTACCCACTTAATTTTTTTCCACGTCGATATCATAAATCGTCGGCCAATCGAACTTTTTCTCCCTCCTTCCCCTTCCCCAACGCGCTCTTTGTATATAGATTAAGATACGACAATAGAACTCGACTACACCACTTGCGCAGATCGACGATCTACTTCATTTCGCGATCTTTCTGACTTGTTTTCGCTAATTTTTCCAAAATTTTTATTATTTTGTAGCATCATGTGATGCTTTCGTTCTCGAGAAAATAATTCCTAGAATAGTAGAATTTTTACTATCAATAAATCAAATAATTATCGACTAATGAGTACCGGCCGGAATAGAAAGTTTTATTGTATTTCGATTATATTATTTTATAAAATTATAGTTTCGCTCACATCGGACGACTCGGTATACTCCGCGTTCGCAGCAGCTTTCGCTTCTTGTCGTGCAGATCGCCGATCGGCACCGCCAGGCATCTCTTCTCGCGATCGGTCAACGGTGCCTCTGGCACCGCTTTCTCGGCATCCTGCGAAATTGACAGCGCGGGAACGGCTACTAGTGTCGGCGTCGCGACCACATCGTCGACGGCTAGATCCTGCTTATCCGACGATTCTTTGTAACCGTTTCCGTGCGCGACGTTGAGGGTGAAACCGAAATAAGGAGGTTGAACGTTATTGGCGATCCGCTTCTCGTCCTTGGTCGGCTCCTCGTCAAAAGAGTCTCTCTGAAAGGAGACTGTCCATGCGATTTAATACAAGGATCGTCTATTCATAAATTTTACAAATTGAAATTCCTCGAGTGAATAATTTCATCTGATTTCGTAAAATTACGAGAACTTTGAGATAGGAGGTAACATTTAATATAGATAATTTTCTCTCTTTCTCTATCCTGCGAAAATAAATCGATGATGGGCGATATTTGGCTCACAATCACAGTTGCCAATAAGGGAAACAGGTTATTCGACAAATAGACTCGGCATGATTGCAAAAAGAGCGCAAACTCTCCATCGTATACGGCGGTCTATTAATCCCAATACGATCAATCACGATATCTCCGCGATGCGCCGCACTAACTGCACGACCGCATGCAGGATGGGTCGTTATCAGTAATAAAAATTGTGTAAGGCGGACTGATAATTTATTTATTAACTGGATTTCTCAACGAGATCAATTTTAAAAATTGATAGATTGATGATATCTTTCTGTCATTTTTTAAAGCTCTTACTCAACTCTCTTAATTATCTTTATATAATTATCTTGCTATATAAATGCGATAGCAATAATGAAGTCACTGAATTTCGCTTTGATCAACTGATTGTGAATACGCTGAAGGCGCGTATTGTGTGGAGAAGCCGACGTTTGAGAATTCTAGCTATGTGTTGTTCGCGTGTCTCGTGTCTCTCTTAATTAGTCGGTTCAATTATAGTTCTACGCCTCTTCGCCTTGCTTGTTGCCGCACGCGTATACGTTATCAAATGTTATCTCTTAGCACGATCAGCTAAATAAATATAAATTTAAGACAAGTATGAAAACTATTTTATTCGTGATCCAATGTGTGTATGTATGATGATACAGATTTAAAAAGAAAAAAAAAAACATTTTTAAGAAGCCTAGGAAGAGAAAGAACATAAAAGGAACTTGACAAAAATTCTGTGCTTTAAAAAAATTCATTATTCGAAATTTTTATATAAAATTTATTACGACATTTATTCACTGAACTTTTGCGTTTACATAATTTATGTATATAAAATGTTTAATCTATATAAAAATATTTTAATTTATATAAAAATAAGACAAAAAGCATACCTGACTTGATAGGTTTTCTCAGTACAGTGGGATTGGGATTGATAGACGTTTTAATGATGGGCGTGGTGGGTAGCTTGCTACGTAATTCATTGATGAGCTTATCGTCGCCTGGCGAGTTTTCCGCGTCGCTATCGCTATCAGCCGAGCTGACCAGCGATACCATGGTAATCACGTCGCTCGTTCTGGGATCCACGGAACTCTTCCCTCGTCCTCCACGCTCCTCGTCCTTGCATCCGCCCGATGAAACGAGAAGGCGCCTCTTCGCGCTCCTCGATCTCTTCTTCAGAGGCGCCGATCTTATCGATCGTTCACCTCGCGATATCTAGAGGACAGTTCGCGCGATCCCTATCTTTATATATTTTCTTATTTTTTATTTATATTCTTTATATTATTTTTTTTTTATATATCTCTGTATATATTTAT